ATTAACACTAAGTTCCTCATCGATCGCCGCCTGATTTTCCGCATTGACCCTCCTAACGAAGGTGTGTGTGGCGTCCATGCAGTTGATGAGCAGGAAGCTTTCTTCAGGTTTTTACGAGGAATGAGTAACAGGCGCGATGAGACGTGAAAAAAGTGTTCAGGAACGGATTACAGATACTCCCAAAAAAAGCCGTTTTCAGAACGTGACTGGGATCACTCAAAAAATAAAACTTGAATTCCTTAATTGAAACGATTGTATTCTTTGATAATTTATCAAAGAATACAATCGTCGCTTCTATCAATCCCTCTGCTTCGTCAGAATAGGTAAATAGGGAGAATTAGATACATTGTGGGCAATTCAAAGGCTTCCCGAGTGGAATGGACTCAAATTCCAGGTTACCGGAGCAACCGATCTTCTCCTGGATGACTAGTTCCAGGAAGACTGCATCGCCCTCTTAACAAGCCAGATGATACATCGCACGGCGTGGAGGGCGAAGCGCAGGGACGACGCCACCCTGCCTCCTCAGCCGCCTTTCTCATTCATTCCTCTTCTAGATGGAAGAGTTTTAAGGGATGAAGGAAGCGATGGCATCGCGTGTCGCCGCGACGAAGCCAGACGCCTCGCAGTTTGTCCCGATCATAAAAGGCGATTTGCTGCGAAACAGAAATGAGGTAACTGAGAATGCGAAGCACCAAGACGATGAGGCTTCCTCAGATCACCTCTACACGATTCCTTTCCATAAGTGACCACGAGTAAGTACCACTATAGCAGTTGAGATGTTCTCGTCATATTTATGTTCGTGTTCAAGGGATTTCCACCCGAAAGGAGCCTGAAGGCGAATCTTCCCGTTCGAATAAGACTCAAAAAGCTTACGGACTTGTCCCGGTTACGTCACTAGTTGTCACTCGACGAATCAATGTGCCGTTTTCACTGTCGACGACTGCTTTTATAAATTTTTACGACATTAAAATATTCGACATGGCCACCATTTAGGCTTTACTGCGTTTGGAGTGAAAGAGGCTTTATTTTCATTCGTACGAAGGATACGCAGAAAGAGACACAATGAGGCAAGGAGAAAGGCATGGAAGAGAGTTGCTCATTTCGAGACATGGGATTGATTGAATGACAGGTGGGAAAGAAGGTGGGATGCCCTGTCGCAGGTTGCATCCATTTCTGCTTCTTTTCGTCATTCGATGAACGAAGAAAGGAGGAAGGCCGGTGGAAATTTATTGGAACGTGTCGCTCTTTAGAGAGTGCAGGAACCTCTATCGCCATGGCAAGTAACGGAAGCTGCGAAAAGCAGCGACACGCGCCGTTAGACAAAGGTAGACAAAGGAGAAGAAAAAGAATGAGAAAAAAAGTGTTCTGCTTCGGCTTCATAAAACATCGCATTGACATGTCGAATGCTGAGTAGTCCTCATACCGCTCCTCTCTCCGTTAGACTGAATAACAGAAGAGTTAACACTACGAAGGGACACCAGGAAATTGGCCGCGCGAATATAGTTCCGAAAAGGAAGAGGCGGGACTGCATTTCAGTAAGATCACTTCGCCATCCCTAAGGCTGTCGAAGACTCTCATTCGGTGCAGAGCCGTCCTTCCAGATCCTAGGGAAAAACGATGCAAAATAACTTCCTCATCCATTCGGCCGCATTCCTCTCGGTAGGGAGCGTAGGAGCATTACTGTGACCCATGAACCACAATTCTTCACGCGTCATTCCAAATCAATGATCTCATTGGTCGAATCTGCCTAGTTCCATGGCCAACCACCAGGGCAGAATTCTCCCCAACGTCAAAGGCACCGCCGCAGAGTGCCTGGTCTTTTCAGTATGTCTTCGCCCAATCTCAGGCGGAAAGCTGCGCATGCGCAGTGCCTCGTGTTTGGTTTGAATGGATGATGCAGACAGACGGAATGAAACAAAGTGACAGTCCGATCGCAATATCTGCCATTTTTCCATAGTCCCATAGAATGACAGATAAATAAGAATTTATTCCACTGATATCAGAATGGAGATGAAGAGAACCATGTGTGAAAAACCAGGCTATGAAATCAGAGGAGCATGAAGACCTTACTCAGCATGCGCCATTACACAGTGAATGATTGTGGGGTCATTTCCTCTACGGGTGCGGTGAATTTCCTCCAAGGGTGGGGTGAATTTTCTCCATGGGTGGGATGGATGTTCTTTTTCATACATTTTCTCCACGATATTACTTCGGCGATGAACTTTCCCAGGCAATTCTCCTGCCGAATAGCATGTCGCTAATAGTACATTCTTAGAAAAGAGTGAGCGATTTCCGAGAAAGGGAGCGAAACTGAAATTAGCGATTTTACTCCCTAATAAGAAGGAAGTGATGCAGCACACCTCTCATTTTAAGAGAAAAGCCAAAAACTTTTTCTACTAGTTTGACAAGTAGTCTCCCTCCTTCGATACATGATATCGAAAAAGTTATTGATTCTGCTCATATTAAGGAGTAGTCATCGATTTTAATTCCTCCTATTTGGGGAAAAAAATATGAAACTCCAGATTCTCCAGTTCTGGGAAATCGCTCACTCTTTTCTGAGAGTGCATTCGGCTCCACGAGGAACATGATTAGCTCCAGAAAAATGTGAATGGATAAATATGTGTCGCTAGTGATTCCCTGCCGAGCGCATCCAGCGGCTCATCAGGCCGCGATGATGCGGTTTTGGCAGGCTTCGATTGGCCTTCACCCTCTTTGCCGCGGCCGGGCCGATGCATCGGGCTCGATGGAATCGTTTGGCCGCTGTTCGCGCGATCGTGTGTCTAATTACAGCTTCCGTGATACCGGCTATACGTAATAGTAAACTCTTGGTAAAAGGGGAGCAATTTTTCTATAAAAAAAAGAGAGTAAAATCGCTAACTCCAGTTTCACTGGAAGCAAATTAACTCCATCACCAAGGACCAAGGAGTAAAATAGTTCTCTTCCGTGAGTAAAAATTGCTCCCCTCAGAAGGAGGTAGGAATGTCATGGAAATCCTCTTATTGACTTTTGGCAGCGTTCGCTTTCGATTTTGTCAGGACAGGCCTTTGACCTACGTCAAAGTGTACCGATTACAGTGCATGTCAGAGGATGGTCCACCTGTTACGGATCCTTGAAGTGTCCGCGGTACCAGTTCTTCACTTCCTCGTTCTCTCATCAAGTTGAGGAAATAGTAGAATTGGGCTCACAAGTGACAGTCCGATCGCAATATCTGCCATTTTTCCATAGTCCCATAGAATGACAGATAAATAAGAATTTATTCCACTGATATCAGAATGGAGATGAAGAGAACCATGTGTTAAAAACCAGGTTATGAAATCAGAAGAGCATGAAGACCTTACTCAGCATGCGCCATTACACAGTGAATGATTGGGGGGTCATTTCCTCAACGGGTGGGGTGAATTTTCTCCATGGGTGGGATGGCATTTTTTTTTTAATACATTTTTATGTGTTCTCCCAAAAATTACATCGGCGATGAACTTTCCCAGGCTATTCTCTTGCTGAATAGATGATTGGCGATATAATATCGCCAATCATCTACTGCTGCATGAGAATCATATTGGGCTTCAGAGGATACACGAGTCGAAAAATATGAGCCACTGGTGATTCTCTGGTGAGAGCATCCAGTGGCTCATCAGGTTGTCATATTTCGTAGTGATAATGAGGTTTTAGAAAGCTTTTATCGCCCTTAAATGATCAGGAAATGGTGTTTAAAAAAAATCATATTGATTCGAAAAACGTTTCTGGAGGGTTCGAGTATTTGCCTTTGAATGAGCCGTGCAGGTGAACCTCAAAATGTAATTTTGTCATTGTCAAATGTAAGGTCGATTGAAAAACTTCCCGAACGGATTTAATGTCTTTTTAATGTTTGGATTTCATGAGTTCTTGGTTCCAATTCTCTGGGGGATCCTCTATTGCAGGGGTTCTTAACTTTTTTTGCATCTGCGGACCCCCCCAAATTCCCAAGTATTACCCATGGACCCCCAACCCCGGTTATCAGAAACTTTGGAACACCTGGATTTGTGATTATAAATTATTTTTTTTCGGGAGCTACCTTAAATTATGTATTCAATTTTCCTTGAACCCTCCACGGACCCCCTGGACCAACCCCATGCATCCCAGGTTAAGAACCCCTGCTCTGTTGGGTCTCGGGAGTGCATATCTCTTATTCGAGACTCCATCGCGAAGGTTCAGTTACGAACGAATGCTCGTGGATTATCATACCTTTGGGTGGCCACTCTCGACGGTCCTCAGTTTGAGCCGTTTCTAAGGGAAGGGGGGGGGGGGGGGGG